TTTAATCAAGTGAGAGGAAATTAATTTAAGGGTTATATTTTAACCCTCTCATCTCTCATAATAAATTTTCTCTCATTTGATATGCTCCCTGTATATATATATATATATATATATATATATATGAGAGGAGGTTAATCGGATACTATTTGATTTGATGATTGGAGTGAGAGTTGAGTGAGTAAACGAAATTGAGGATGACAGTTGAGAAGGAACAGAAGAAGCAAGTCAATCTGTTCTACTCCATCGATTGTCAAGACCTTGCCCACAACATCGCTCATCACTGTAACCACATCATTCTCCATAATATCAAATGGAGGTCTCTTTCTCTCTACCACCCAAAATCTTTCATTTTCATTCTCTTTGCTCTTTCATCCATTTCCCGTTGTGGGAAACATTTTAAGCATGCTTATTATTATTCATGACTTAGAATTTCTAGCTTTGTAGCTGACATGACATGTTATGTTCCTAGGAATCTGCTAACTGTTTATTTTGATGCTTTGTCATGCCTTAACTTGCTTGCATGTCATGTTTTCTGATGAATTTTAGTTGTGATCTCACAATAACTATAGCTATCATCTTTGGCATAGTGGCGCTGGCGCATCAAAATCATTATTGCATACAAATTGCATGATGGGGTTTCTTTTCAGTTTAATTTCAATGCATGTTCAATGTAAACAAATTTATGTACTCTGAATCAATCAGAAATCCTATACTGTATGAACTTTAAGGTTTTTATTACAAAAGTCAATTACATTATAATACACGATGGTTTGTGATTGGATCGGTGTAAAAATCCTTTTACCCTATCAATTCATAGACTATTCTCTCTTATTTTTTTCTTCTTTTTTGGACAATAAAACTGAAAAACTGATTTGGTTAGCTTTTTATGCACATGCAGGTCTTTTCCTGACGGGTTTCCAAATATATATATAAACAACGCAGAAGAGCTCCGAGGTCAGCATGTTGCTTTTTTGGCCTCTTTCAGCTCCCCAGCACACGTGTGTGAGCAACTTTCTGTCATATATGCACTCCCTCGTCTCTTTGTTGCTTCCTTCACATTGGTGTTGCCTTTCTTTCCAACTGGTTCCTTTGAAAGAATGGAAGAGGAAGGAGATGTAGCCACTGCCTTCACCCTTGCAAGGATGCTATCTAATATTCCAATTTCAAGAGGTGGACCAACTAGTTTAGTCATATATGACATTCATGCCTTGCAGGTTTGTGTGCTTCAATTTAAACATAAATACATAAGAATTACTTTTGAGTTGCATTGTGGTGCTTTAGTTAAGGTTCTTCTGGATTATTAGTACAAGTATTTTTGCAGGGTCTTTTGATGATGTGTTTATGTATTTTTTTTGCACTTTGCGTAATGAGAGAAGTATAGACAGACTCTTGAAATAATGAGTGAAGGAAGCATCCCATCAAAAAAATATGTCCTAGATGTAAACAGATGTGAAATTAAAGCTTGAGTAGCCCAATATGTGTTTAGTTGTATAAAATTATTTTAACTCTCGATAATTCATGTTTGTCATGTACCCTGCATTGGGTTTTAACCAACTCTCCTACCATCTGTTTTTCTGCCAGATCAGGGATGACTTGGAAATCATTTATTTTCTTAACATTTAACCAGCTTTTATATGGCATCAGCATTTTGTTTTCTCTAGTTAGTTCCTTTTTATTAGGGTCTAGCTAGAACTTAAAAAAGATGATGGCTTATATAAAATGTTTTAAGCAGTTTCTTCAGCAGATAAAGAGAAAGATTTGGAAAAGGAACCCAAAATGAGGTGTCATGAAGAGTCTATGCAGAAAACATGTACCAGATTTTAAGCATGGATGGAAATTCCTCCCCGTGAAAATCTTTTTGAAAGTAAACTATCATTATCATGTGTATACTAGAAGATATAAACATCTGTACTCCCTTTACCGGTTACTTACTATCTATACATACTTTCAGAGATGGTGAACTAAAATAATAATTCACTCAAACTTTTAACAATAAGTAAGTACTGGAGGCAATATACATAATACAGGTAAAACATCATGAATAACTACATAACCAACTTATTATAGCTTCCCCTCCCCCCTTTTAATAGAACATGGCTTCTGGCTAGAAACTGTTTAATTTAACATTGCATGATCACTCTGTCTTCTTTCTTTGGTTTCTTATGTACTTGATATCATATATGTAATCTACAACTTTGTCCACTCATTTTTTTACAATAAATATTATGCAGGAGAGGTTTTATTTTGGAGATGAGGTTTTGCCCTTGTTTGAGACTGGCATTCCTCTCTTAAAACATCGCTTGAGTCAACTTCCTGACACTGAAAATGTAAGTTTTCTGCATTCCTTTATATCCTTCAGTCACATTGCCTTTGTCTGTAGATCCAATCTTGAGATGTTGCATTCCATCCTGAATTTTGGCAGTAATGTTGGTATCCTAGTATATACCTTTTAACATCCTGAATTCCTGGTTGTTCTTTTCAGATAGCTATAGCTTTTCCAGATGATGGTGCTTGGAAGCGATTCCACAAGCAGTTTGATAATTTTCCTGTGGTTGGTTCTCTATATCTTTGTTTAACTTTTAATTCATTTTTATAGAGTATCTAATTTTATGAAATGGTAGGTGGTATGTACAAAGGTTCGTGAAGGTGATAAGAGAATTGTTCAGCTCAAGGAAGGCAATGCCACCGGTCGTCATGTAGTCATTGTTGATGATTTGGTCCAATCTGGAGGCACCCTGATTGAGTGTCAGGTAAATGGTATACATCAATGTTTATTTTGTCAAAGGAAATTTGCTTATGCATGTTCTCATTCTATATACACTATGTGGAAAATGCCTTTTATGATATATTAGAGAGAGCATGTTTGGTCAAGGCAACATAGAATATGTGTGAGAATTATAGATACTATATTTATCAATGCATTAGTCTAATATTTGTGTTATTTTCCTATTGGTTTCCCGTAGAAAGTTTTAGTGGCTCATGGTGCAGCAAAGGTGAGTGCCTATGTCACCCATGGAGCATTCCCTAATCAATCGTGGGAACGGTTCATTCATAAAGATGGTTAGTCCTGGCACAATGTAACATACTCCTATATTCATTTATTTGAATGTGTTACCATTTGATTCAACATGCAGATGGCTTGAAAAAGGCATTTACCAACTTCTGGATCACAGATTCTTGCCCACTTACTGTGAAAGCTATAGAAAATAAGGCTCCTTTTGAAATATTGAGTCTAGCAGGATCTATTGCCAATGCTCTACAAATTTGAAGGCAAACATTACTCTAGGGGAAAATCATGGAACTAAATCAACCGCAATGTTTAGCACTTCTAATATTACAGAGGAAAATTCTGCTATTAAAATATTTCCCATGCATAGTCTCTGTCAAGTCGTTGACATCCACTCATTTCTGCTATATTGCTATATGAGCTTAGCTCAGTGGAATCTGGAGAGGAATGTATGTTGAACAAATTTGTGTGTTTTTGTTAGTCCTTTAAGATCCGTTGCACACATTTCAATAAACTAAACGTGAAAGGGAAAAAATGATGGATTTATCTTGAATGTGATTTTAAACGATATTCAAACACACTGGATGTTGACTATAATATGTGACCTTCATTCTGAGCAAATCATCCACTTGTCAAAGATACTATTCAAGAGACATCAAAATTTGATTCCAATTTTGGAATGCATAACATAGACCATGTGAATTTGAGAATTTATGCTAGACTTTTAACCTTAATCATATTCTCTTCATTCTTGATTATAATGAAGAAAATTCTGATATTTTCGGGATGATGAAATGAAGAGAAATGACACTACATGTTATCCGAGTATAGACATTCTTAACAATAGCGTGAAATAAATACAACAGCAATGATCTGTTAAGTGTTAACATCTGTACAGCCATTCAACATTATTTTGGCTACATGACATCATTGAAAACACATAGGATAGTTGTTCCTTGTATCCCTTCTATACAACCTTTTTTGTCATACATACCCCCAATAATATTATTATTATTAACATTAACCATATCTGCAATGGCCAAAACAAAAGGTTGGCAAAAAAACAACAAATCCCAGTCGGAGTCATCCTGCACAATCTGGAAAGCATGCTGCTGTAGAGACTCACAATCCAGCAGTACACTCCACCTTATTCTTTTCCGCTGGTTAAATGACAATGGCTTCTCTACACTACACATCAACAAACTGCATCCTTTAGTCTTCTGGCACTGATAACCAGGCTTTTCCCTCACCTTTATACAACAATAGTTTTTTTTTTCTTCTTTTACTTGATAAATCAGCTTTGTACACCTTAAGATTAGCCATGCACTATGCAGCAGTTAGTACTCCTAGAATCCATTTATTATGGCTAGGGAACAAATAGTTAATCTTTTTCTTCCAAATTGCCCTTGGGGCTCTCCAACAAATCACCTGAGTAAGAACCATCTGGTTGACGAATGCATATATTCAAATTGCTTGAGAGGAAATGTTCCTGGATGGTATGCAGAGAGAAATAATCAGACATGCCCTTCAAAAGAAATATCAAACAAGTGAAATAATTGATCAATGAATGTAAATTTCAAATGAATAAAATAAGTTTAGTCTGGCAAGCGGCAATGAGGCAAATTTCGTATTGCAAACGTATAGTTAAACAAACAGTTAAATTTCAAAGTTGACGATCCTCAAAGCCATCTTTAAACTATTCAATTTGCTTATCATTTGAGTTCTACGTGGGAATAGACTTTGCGGAGGTCTGACAATCATGTGAATAAGAACATTTAGCTGGTGAAATGAACAATGTGAAATTCAGATGCAGCTTCAAGTATTTCACATTCAGGTATGTCAATCATGTAAACGAGTACATATTTTGATTTGAGGCTTTGAGCGTTAATGTAGGTATTTACCTCCAATTTATTACTTTAACATATATACCTAACTTGTATAGATTCTGATAATGTGAATGACAGACAGGTGGATGCACATTCTCTAAAACAACCAACAAACATGTGGACTTGATTTTTTTCTCCTCAATATCCTTACTTGTCTACCATGAAATATCTCATAAACAAGTGGAGTCTTCAACTCTTCCTTACTCCCTTATTTGTTTGGGTAGAAATAGAATAGAAAGAAATAGAAATGAGAGATCGGATGAAAATACTAAATTTCCACTGTTTGTTTGAGATGAGAAACAAAAAGGAACAAAGTTATTTTTGTAGGATCCACCAGAAAACACTCCCCCTCCAAATTCGAATTAAATGGGATAGAAAAAATCTCTCTCCTTTTTATTTTTTTGGTTTAAAACTTTTATAATAGGAAAATAATAAGTAATAAATAATTTTATATTAAGAAAAAATATTATATTAAAAAAAGTAAAAATTACACTTTTTAATTGTTATAAAAATACTTTTATATAATTTATATATTTCCACTTTCTTTTCTACTCATCCAAACAAACAAGAGAAATCCCTCAGTTCCTTTCTTCTTATTTCTATTCATTCAAATAACATATCTTTTTCTCTCTATCTCCAAACAGCGCCAGTCAACCCTTCTGTCAAGTCCATGCGGTTCATGGTCTGCCCCAACTTTGTATTATTCAGAAACATCCCGATAACAAAATGACCGAGTTTTGTCTATTAGATTGTTGAAAAGACTTTTATCAAGCTAATTGCACATTTGACAATTCTAGGTTGATTTAAGTTTACATTTTTTCAAAAGTGGAGTCTTTGTACCCATCTTTGACCTAATCCAACGTAGGCGTCATGATAACCATTGTATGAACAAGTTGAAAATGAAAATCATATCCGATATCAAATGCCTTTTCATTTTCAAGATTTGCAAGACCTCTAAAATTGGGAACTATACATTCAGCAAGCACTCTTATAATTAATCGAACCAGCTGATAGTCAAAACATACCTGGTCGTCAATCCCTTGACCCTCAGAATGAAAGAGAATTGGTCGGCACCACTTATCCTCATTCATGAGGCTTGAATTCTGAAAATGTGTCACTAACGCACCCTTTCCCTGGATCCGTGCAAATGCTAGGGAAGCAACTTTCTCACTATTAAATTTCTCCCACCTTTTCCCATTAAATGCCTACACAAATTTCCATGATAAGAAACTTGTTAACACGGAGGTGTACAAACTTCTTCAAACCAGCACTCTTTTAATTACCAGCAAATTACTGGAAATGACTAAAAAGAAATACCCTCTACTTCTACTCCAATTTTACACAGATTAAAAAAGTTAATTACATGCATTTAATTTTCACTTTTTCACATAAAGTATACACTACATTTCCTAAAATATCTTTAACCGCATCTATTGTAAATAGTGCTCCAATTTATTGTCTTAAGAGTGTTTTTGGATTAATAACATCAAATAAATTTCGCTTCATTGAAATTTACTTATATTTTAGTCCAAAAAAATTAAACATTTTTTACTCATAAAGGTCCAGAGGGAGTACCTATTAATTAAAAAAAACAAATAAATAAATAAAAAACAGATGAAGACATTTGTCCTCGAGATACAACTTCACATCATGGAAATTGGAAATGCTTACAACACAAAGCAAGTACAGGAAATTGAGTATAATAGCAAAAAAATACAACCGCAGATAGGCAGAAGTATAGAATTTAAACCTTATAGAAGGGGATGATGTGTGAAGGAGACACCATATTGATGAAAGCATACCCAACGTTACACTTGTTCTGCAATCAAAAACGAACTTCATGAAATAAGTCATCCTAGAGAACAAAAGTGATTCCCTTCAGCAAAGATGTGCATACCTTAAAGTCAATTGGCAAGTAGAGAAAGTCGTAACTACCCTGGTGATTCTCATCAATTGCAGCAAGCAGCATCTTTGAAGTGTACCTTAATCACAACACAAAACCATTATGAAATTCATCACTTACCATTTCTACCCTACTCAAATTATGGGTACAGTGATCACTTCACTAGAATAATTGCTTAGCTCTTACTTGTTAGGAATGTTTTTAATCATTAAGGTAGTCCTTGTGTCTTCCCCACTCATAATTTTGTCCAAATCAAGCTGATACTGCTTCTTACTATCAATTTGGTTCCCACTATTGTCAGGTCGCCTACTTCGACCACGTTCAGCTAATCCGTCAGTATTAGTAGCTCCTGGTCCAGAATACAAACCATTACCAAGGAACAGGGAACCTTGCCTGGGTAGTGACATCATTCCAAAATTGGGTGAACTCATTTCAGAAGTATTTCCTGAAAGCCCAACACTGATACCTAGAGATGCATGACCACCCATGTTCATCAAAATATTCCCATTACTGTGATTCATATTCCCATATGCAGCCGGGCTCTTGAGAGAAGTTTCAGGTGACTCTGGGAAGTAGCTAAAATGTCTATCAAGAGGAAGGCCAGGTGGAGCAGATCCCACATGATGAAGTGGATGAGAACCAAGAAAAGAACTGTGCCGACTAGTATATGGGAAAACCTGCCTTTGTCCAGTAGAAGTAAATGGAACCCCCACAGAAGATGAAGACCAGGCAGATGTGTTTGAATGCTCTGAGTAAGGAGTTGGACTTCCCCAAAGAAATTGAGGACCAGACAATGTTCCAATACTTGAAGAACTTGAATTTGATTCACCAAAAGTAGATATAGGCCTAGGAAATGCATTTACTTTTTGCTCAGGAAATGATGTAGAATGCTGAAAAGCAGCTCCTTGTGATGATCCTGAGCTTGCAAATATCTGCTTTGCATTATTAGCCCTTCCTAGGTCCTTGCCAATTGGAGCAATCTTTGGAGAACTTGATAATTGTGGAGAAAGAATTGCAGCCAATCCAGGCAAAAGGTTGGTATTCATTGGGCTCCCAAAATTCAAACCAGGGGATTTGCTAAAAGAACCTAATGCATTATGTTCAACTGGACTACCAAATTGTGCCCAGTTACCTGAGCAGAATTACCAACTAGTTTAGCTTGTAACTGGAGATAGCTTTTCTAATGGATACAACTAGAAATGTGAATGACAAAGAAAACTGAACTCAGAGATAAGACATTTTACCAGGAGGAGAATTGCCAACAGGTGAACCCACTTGTTGTCTAAAAGTTCGAGCTTCATCTTGCTCCAATTCTTGACTCAGTTGTTGCATCAAGCTAAAAGGAGAAAAAGTATGGCCAGTTTTTTACAGGTACAATTATGCAGAGATTACATTATCATTCATGTAAGGATATATAATATATTATATAATATTAGCCGAACTCAAACCATATCAAAGAAAAGCTAATTAAAAAATGAGACAAACAAAAACCAAATAAATGTACAAGAGTTGAAGCTTTAAATTTACATGATTGAGAAGAAAAATATAGCCAGTCAAGAATTAAATGTATTGTACATATAATTGCAAAGAAGGAGGAAGCAAGGGCATAAATGTGTTGTACATATAATTGCAAAGAAATTGGAAGCAAGGGCATGTAGCAGCTTAGTTGGAGTTTTTTAGAAAGCTGGAAAAAAAGGTATGGAAATATGGGTTACTAGAGCGGTGACATTACTTCCTTCTGTCTATTGACTTTGGGATAGATCTGACGATTCTGAACTATTTTTACAGTTCCTGATTCCTGAATAACTTTCTTAACGAGTACATGGCAAAAATATACCTTGAGAGTATAAACCTCGTAACATTAATCATGCTCATGAACTCCATATTAATTCAAAATTTAAGTGTTTCACCACCTCACTTTAGAATAACTTACCATATACTCATAGTTTTTTAACATGCAAGAACAAATCAACTGCTAAATAAAATACAGATTTTCGTCTCATTTAAAATTGGGTAAACAAGCCAAGAAAATGAAAGTAAAAGGATTCTATTTTCTAAGCTATCACTTGCAGGAGTTGTTGAAATCAAAGTTCGAATCTCAATCATTAAACCATAGTTTCAAAGTTTCAAGCACTGACACGGTTATTCTTGTATGCAAATGCTTACTAAGACCCCAGGTCAAAGTTAAACAATTATGTTTATCGATAGGCAGACTTCTCATAACATAACTATCAACAATAAGTCCAACTTACTTTCGACGTGCTCCACCAGGGCGGCTGGGTTCAAGTTTGATGCGCTTCCCAGCGATGTCACTTTGATTTAATGCTTTTAGGGCAGCCTCTGCTGCTCTAACATCATAAAATTCAATAAATTTATGGTGTCTCTTATGTGGTGTTTCCCTGATCTGCAAGTAAGACCAAAACTACTCCAGGTACTGATCTAGAGACTAATTAAGATAAAAGAAAATACATTGAGATGAACAGTTAAAAGTTAAAACATGTAAATAATTAAAGTTTTACCTCTTTGACCTCTCCATAAGCCCCAAATATTAAACGAAGGTCATCATTTGATACCGAGGGATCCAAATTGAACACTACAAGTGTTCCTTGGTTAATATCCTTTTCTGAGGGGTTGTCCTGAAACCAGCAGAAGAAAAGATGAATTACACAGAGCAAACATATTGGATAATTAACCAAACCTTAGTTACAGATATATATATATATATATATATATATATAGCAAACCTTAGGAATTGAAAAATGAATATCAAGTTTTCTTCGTCTCAAGGGCTTGTTTTGTAAAGCACGCATTGCAGTGCGAGCAGATCGAATGTCATAGTACGATATCATCACAAAACCCCTGTGCTTGCATGCAGTGTACAGTGTTCTGATATCCCCATATTGCTATTAGAAGTTTTGGGGGAGGAGGGGGGGGAGCAAAAGAAACAAGGAACCAACATTAACAATAATGAAATAACGGGAGAAAAACAAGGAGCTCTCCAAGTTATACACAAACCAAATATAAATTTCCTAATTAAAAATAAGAAACTTTTTAAGCTCCAATTAGAACTTCCTCATCAACCCTCCTAGATAGTAGAGACATGCTCAGAAAATCATTAAACTATAAAATGGTAAATCAAAGCTCTTCTTATAAACTTTAATTTGACATCTCATAAGTATATAACTATAAATAAATTAATAAATTATTTTAGAACTCATCATTCCACTTTAAGTATATAACAATATCAGGTTAGGTACAAACTAGCAAATAAACCAAGAACGTAACTTTGTTGTAGCATTGGCTTAGTTCTTTATACATGAAATCAATTCAAAGATACGACTAAATAAGTAGCCAAAAAACAATAGCATGATCACCAAAAACATAAATATTGACTTGAAAGATAACCATATTTTTATTGAAGTAGTTGGCTAAAGCAAAATACCTCAAATAGTGATCTTAATTCAGAGTCCTCAACATTACTGTTGATGTTCCGCACAAATAGTGTCCTTGATGGATGCTCTCCATAAGGATGTTCCCCAGCCACTGTTCCCATGCCATTTGGAATTGCATAGTGACCAATACCATTCGAATGAACTTCATCAGATAAGCTTACCTTTGCTATACCAACACTAAGGCTCTCTTGAGGTTCAAAATCCATTTCAAACCCCCCTCCACTGCCAAAAAGATCATTTTCATCCAGATCCTCCAATTGGCTGGGCAACCCACTCAGATCAAAATCATCAGTTATACCGGCCAATAGCTCATCATCATCAGGAAGCATGTTTCCAACTGCACCAATTTCAATATGTCCAAGTGGATCCTGTCCCCCAACCCCTTTGAGAACTTTGCCTAATACTGGCCAGTCATCATCAACAGATTGACCGTAATGCTCTGAATTAGTAATTTTTACTGCATATGGAGAATGAACAGGAAACAATAAAGGTTCAACAATCATTTTGAGTGGTTTCAAATTTCAGTCTCAGATATCATGACAGTATCTAAAACTTACACTTTTCATGTGGAAAAACAGGAAGTGAACTACAAAACAAGCTAGCATCACTTGAAGCATGAAATGAATCAGTCCCACCTGGTATTCCCCATGCACTGCTTCCCATTTCTTTGGCAGATTTAAGCGAGAAAAACTCAGATCTACCTATAAAAACAGCTTAAATGTTTATTTTCATCTTATTAAATAATTTTATGTCCATGCAAGAATGTATTTATCAGTTATCATGCACAAAGAGGAAGCACCTGCTACACCATGAGTTGGCATAGAATCCCCAGAATGTTTGTCCATCCAAACACTTTCTAATTACTTAGTGAAACGAAAAACAACAAGGAGTAAGACTTCTAATATCAATTACACGAATACGTTATAAAACTATAGGGATGCAAAATATTGCAAACTATAACAAATTAAAAAATTGTCACTGCTACAATCAATTAAGGAAGATGCATCGCAATTCAGCCAGGAAACAACTACAAACAAGCAATCATTTGTACACATCATCAAGCAAAATGTTAAATTAAAACCTCTATAGCCCTAAAAAGGTGTTGATCACCCTTTGTTTTATAATTTGTCAGCCTAGGCATTTTACAACTATGTGAGACTACGTAGTCAACTTAAAGGCCAACCAAAATGACCCAACAAATTTAGTCAACTAGAAGGGGGAAAATATTATAGTTACTGTAAGATTATCCATAGCAACCACCAACCACAAGCTCCCAGACCTAATAATAGAGTACCTTAACTAAAGCTCAAATTTTTTGCTCGAACAGTGAGGACCCACATGCTAGATAAACCGATCATGCGTAGCAAAACTAAAACTTGAAAAGAAAAACTTAAATTTGAATCAGCTCGAATGATTGGTAAGAAGAAAATAGAGTGAGAGTGGAAATAAAAATAATAAAATAAAAAGAGGGAGAGGTAGAAAAGGAGCACCTTAAGAATTCATGGAAAAGAGTAAGCATGCGGTGATCAGTGAAATTGGAATGATAAAGAGAAGTTTCTCTTGCAATCACCTCGGTGCTGCAGAGCAACGATTTTCCGGAAAATCAGAGAAAAGAAAAGAAAATGGTGGAAAATGATTGGAGGGAACAAGTACAAGCAGAAGAAAATAATTGAGATACTTCTACTATGTATTTTTTTTTTAAATGAAATAAATAAATAAAAACATTTATTATTATTTTTTCTCTATGCATGCTCTCAATTGGTGGCATATTAGATATTTATTTGGCGTCCGTTGACACACGTTTGATGTTCCAAAAACCAAGAAAATCAAAGAATAAAAAAAACAAAAACTCACGCGGAATAGGAATAGCATCTCTTCCATTTTATTATTAGTAGTTTTTCTTTTTTACTTATTCATACTTTATTAGGACTTTAATTAATTTATTGCGGTGCATTTTCTTTGTAATTTTTTATGAAATTAAATGAATTAACTTAATAAAATTAATTTAAATATTTTCAGAAAATAATTATAAAAATTAATAAATTTATTATATTTGATAACTTATGGTTAAATGACAAAAAAATACAGTGTGATAAATTTGTATACTCAATATATTTAAATTAAATTATTTTATTAAAAAATTAATATTTTAGTTTATGTACTGTATAAATAAATATTTTTGTACGTTAAAAATTATAACAAATAAATAGCTTGAATGATTGAGAGAATTTCTTTTTTGACAATTAAATTCTTTCTTTTTTACTAATTACGAGAGTAATATGTGAATGTATATTAAAAAATAATAGAGAGAATATTTATATTTTATAATGTCTAATTAAGAAAATGAACATAGTTAAAAATTGTAGTTTCTAATTTATAAGATAAGACGACAAGACAGGCCCACGTTTTCACTTGTTGGGCAATTAAAAAGGACCCTATGGGCCAAAGAGGTCCAGGCCCATTACTGTCTCAGTTTCCCGCTGCATATATGTTCATCTTCCCGCCATCTCACTCTCTCACCAATCACCTCGCTCTCGATTCCTTCGTTTTCTTCGATTCAGTTCGTAATGTCGGTCGCAAAGCAAATGATCCCTCAACAAGAACCCGATTTCAACCTCAATCATCTCAAACTATATTACGGTTCGTTACTTTGGCTCCCCCTTTCGTCTTTTCTTTCAATCTCTGCATCAAATTAGCATAACTTCCTGATTTCAACGTTTTCTCTGCTCTTCTTTTCATTTTTTTTTTTATTTTGCCAGGAAAGCTGTTTCCTTTTGCTGATTTAGTCAGATGGGTGTCTTATGGAAACGGTAATATCGCCAAACACGTGCTTCTGATTCTTGTTGAATGACGGCGCATAAAATTCAATTTTAAATTATTTTTTTTTGTGGGGATTATTTGTAGATGGGAAGCACCCTGGTTGTGATCAATCTTACTTGGGGCGAAGAGAGTTTTCCTTTACTCTGGAGAGTGATATATATCTGCGTTTTCAATCTTTCAACAACGCCATTGAGCTTGAAAACTCCATCAAAGAAAAGTCCCCTGTTAAGATAGATATTGGACCTGTCTACACTGTTGATGTAATATATCCCCTTTTCTCCAACCTCTCTCTACCTAGATTCCATTATTATGCTTCAAGTTTTTATAATTCATGCAGCAATAATGATTAATTTTTATATTGGCAACTAATTAATATATTTTGTACGACTTTTAAGGTAATTATTGTAAAAATAAAATAAAAAAATAAAAAAAAAAAACTTATTGTCCATACATTGCAATTTGTGATAGATTGGCATAAACGATTCACTCAAATGTTTGTGGTAATGAGATGTTTCTTTTACCCTGTCGCCTAATCTGCTCCTTATATTTGGTTCAGCCTGCTAAAAGGAATGCCTATGCACAGAGTGAAAATAATGTTTTTGCCCCAGTTGAGAGGGAGTTGATTTTTGATATAGTAAGATTTTTTTGCTTCTTACTTCAAGTGAAGCCTTTAGCTATTGTGGCCTTCTTGACGTTTGATTTGACACCCTTTCTTATTTTGGGTTTCTGTAGGATATGTCAGATTACGATGATGTTAGATACTGCTGTTCGGGTGCTGATGTTTGTTTGGTTTGCTGGCCGTTGATGACTATAGCGATCAAAGTGATTGATACTGCCTTAAGAGGTACTAATTTGCATCTTATACATACGATATTGTAACTGTTGTTCCGACTTTTACTTTGGGGCTACTGTTTCAGATGACTTTGGTTTCAAACACATTCTCTGGGTATATAGTGGACGCAGAGGTGTTCATTGTTGGGTCTGTGATGGGAAGGCAAGAAGGTGAGGCACTAAGCAATCAAAAGTTATGCTTTATCTACTTGTGGCCATATAGTCATAAATTCAAATAGGTTGCTTTCACTCATACAGGTTGACTAATGAGCAAAGAGCTGCTGTTGCTGACTATTTTCGTGTCTATAAGGTATAGTATAATGATGACAAGTGGGTTTGTCAATACTTGTATAAGTGTTTTGTTGATTTCATATGCTGTCCAGGGCAATGAAAATAGTCACAAGAAGGTTTCTTTGATGGGTGCTGCTCTGCATCCTTTCTTGGCGTAAGTCTTCATATGAATGATTAACTTTAAGAAGCAGATTTCTTATTTCATATCCAAACAGGTATTTTATTTTTCCAGGACATCATACACTAATGTTCTCAAGGACTATTTTGAGAAAAAGCTGCTTACTGATCAAGATATACTTGGTACTGAGGAGAGATATGAGAAGATCCTTAACATGATTCCTGATGAATGTAATTTTTTTCCTACCCTCCCTTCAAATAAACCTTGTTATTTCATTTCCTGCATTTATCTTATGCAATACATGAGTTACTTTTGCAGCTATTGCGTCTGAACTTAGGGGAAGATGGCAAGATAGTAGGAGGTCTTCTAGTGCCAAAGAAGACATCAATGTTGTTCGATGGGAACAGTGTAAACAGTTGCTGCAATCTGGAAAACATAAGGTACACAACACAAGCCTCCTTTTAGGAAATGTAGAATATAAGGGTTACAAAGTCGTATGCTATCTTCAATATTGAAAGAGCATGGATCTCATAAGCAATAGATTGGTCTTGAAATTCTTGTTGTGGCCTCCTACAGTTGTTACATGCTTCCATTGTTCGTATAAAAGGATTGTAAATTGTATGATTCATTATCCGAAATGATGCAGGATTTGCAGAAACAAGCATGATTTGATATTTGTTTTCCTAATCCTTTTTGTAGTCACAAGGGCTGCGTCGTTGCGTTGAAGAGATTGTGTTCTGTTTTACTTATCCCAGGCTAGATATGGAGGTTCGTCTCTGAGCTGGCCTGCTTTTCCCATATCACGTTATCTTTCATGCCATTACCATTTCTGTAGTCACAGTGCCCAGCAATATATAAAAAAACCGATAACACCTTTTGGTCTTTTCAATTCTAGTCTGCATTTTTGTTCATTAAGACTGTTTATATTTTAGGTTTCTAAACATATGAATCATTTGCTTAAAGCACCATTCTGTGTACATCCTAAAACAGGTCAGTATCTAATGTTTATGCACATTTTTTTATTGACATAATCAGTTGAACATTTTATGTGAGGCTTGAGAATCACTGATGACATTATAATCACATGGTTTTTTCTTTGATTTTTTAACAAGAAAATTGAAACTATACAGCTATCTCCCAGTTAAAATAGTTTGATAAATTCATTGGCTAATTTGATTGTCTAGCATTACATGGTATTCTTATTTGTTCTAGGCCGTGTTTGTGTCCCTATTGATCCAAATCGGTGCGAGGAGTTTGATCCTACTACAGTACCCACCCTTTCACAGGTAAACTTCTGCAATGACAATTTTCTTACCTGCAATGCAGGGAGATGAAAGCTTTCCATTGGCTCAGTTGTTTGCTTAGTTTTGAATAGGGATGTTTCTATTTATTACTTGGGAGTTGGGAGTATAAGAAACTTGCAAAATGACACTTGCTCCCATCTCCAACACATTTTCATCTGTGGAAAAGGATAAACATCACCTTTTGGCATGCCTAAAGTGGGTATAAAATAGGCATGTAGTCCACTATTGCATTTGTTCATCAGGATAATGCTTTCTAATTCTAAGTATTTCTGGACATTTCTTGAATTTATGCTAATCTTGATATTGTGAGTTGTATGTATGTAACATTGCAGCTGATAGAAGAGCTTAATAATGAAGGCTCAAAAGCTGATGTTGATGGTGGTATGTTAATTTTATTGTTTTGTAAAACCTTTACTTTGTTATCACTACGTGTCTTGGACTCTCGGGGTCTTGTTTATGTACATTGATATGTTCCTTCTAATAACTCATGCTAATTGCAAGTTGGAGTCCAATACAAGTGAAAGTGATTTTAATACCTTTTTTTTAAGCAGAATGGAATAGAACTTCGCTTGGAAATGCCATTACGTTCTTCAGATCGTCATTCTTACAGCCTTTATTAAAAGCCTGCAAGGTAGGGATCATTAATGAATGTTGGTTTTACCTATACAGCATTTTATTGCATTAAAAAGCTTATGCAATGTCAAAACCTAGATACCAGTATTATGAATCATTTAAATCCTAGAATAATCTATATTCCATTTGAAAGAGTTAAATACTAGGATTAATGACTCATTATCTGTTTGTCATTTATACGTTATTTTGGTTCCATTACAGCAATGCAAGTTCTTCAAAGCATTGGTGATGATGCTGTTAATCTTAATAATCTGATACACTATTACATATTCAGCATTCAGATGTACCTATGATAACTATTTAAAATAATGAACATTGCAGGAGGAGATAGAAAATTCCTATAACTTAAAATTGCAGCAGTCAAAGAATTCCCTTGGTTGGTAGTGCCACTTATTCTTGATTGGCCACGTCGAGCTGTCTTGGGGCATTAGTTGACACAGTCAAATCATGAAATGTTGGTGGTATTGTTGAATTATAAAGAAGCCTTTTAACCATTCTTTTGTATTATCTTACTACGACTTCTCGTGAAAGAAAGCAGTTGATTAAATGTTTCCATCCGTTGTATAAATGTTGGGCGAATGAGTTTATAGTGTGTTTGGACGAGAAATTTATATAGGGTAATTCATTTATTTGAAGAATTTCAAATTTCTTGAGGTGAAATGCTTTGTT